GAATTATGTTTCAACTATGGGGGGCTAATCCCATAACAAGTTATGTTAATACTTTCGTGTAAAAATAAACAAAAGCTCAGAAAGACATGTTGAAGATTCGAGAAAGATAATTCCGGTTCAAATCAGTGGTTCAATGTGTTCAAATTTATAGGCATTGAGGCAAATTTGACTGAAAATAGTATCGTTATTTGTAACAGTCTTTCAAAATCCACTCTTTCTGAAATGTAAAGCACAGCATGTCTCTGTGTGGGCAATATATGACAAGTGCTTCAGTTTAAAAGCTTTCTATAATAAGGCAATGTATTAATATAAATACAGTTAATACTATTTACTCAATAGATTCTTTATGCCATATAATTTGGCCTCAGAAATGCAGCTGTATTTGAGAGCAACTTTAGCATGCAGAACAATGGAACAACCACTGAGAAACGTACACACTGACACTGTCTATAATTAGCCGTATTTCAATCATTTCTCGAACAACAGTAGAGAACTTGAATTTAAACAAATCCAAGCAAAACCAAACATAGAAAAAATGTCGTTTGTGTTGGTTTTTCGCACAACGCAATCCGGTTAAGAAGACTTTAGCATGTTTAATTCAACTGTTGTCTTATAAAACGCTTGAATTCAAGGATTAATTCTTCGAAGAATGATGTTTTTCTTTAGTCTGATGGCTGAACAAATATACAATGAAGAAGTCTGTCTCTTCCTGGAGATTTTATAGGTGTCATTATAGATTTCCGATTTTAAGCTAGAAAATATCACTGACTGTATATAGGTGGCTTTGACTTTTATCAGAGTGAGAAAATAATGTTATAATTCTTGTCATAATAATATAATAACCTTATTTCAACTGTTAGATTCTTTCAGCTGTGAAAATAGTAGCCTATCCCTGTGAATCCCCAAAATAGAATGGATGAACAGTATATTTACACTCGTATATTTTACTTTCACACGTGGGGAGGTAAAGAAAATGGCTCGGGAGGCTGAGTTAGGAAGAAGTTATTTCGTTGACCTCAGAATGACATTTCGTTAAAATTCTTTTCTTCAAGATTGGTTTAGAAACAAACTTGGAGTAGGGTTAGGTTAGGGTAAGGATTAGAGTTGGTGTTTGGAATAGTGTCAGTGTTAGTAAAACCGTTGCGGCTTTGTTACGTTCTGTCACTCTGAGGCCAGCGAAATAACCTCTTCCTAAAACTATACACTAGGTGTTCATACAAGTATTGAATTTAGGTAATTAAAGGCAAAATCATTGCTAGTAATTTATAAATTGTAGTTCGGAATGAGGTCGTTCTCTTCAATGGGTCGAGCATGATATAAAGAATCTGCTGAAGCCGAAGTTTGTGTTGTCAACGAAGCCGAACTGGCTGAGGAAAACGAATTCAATAATTGTTTTATCAAGTTGAAAAGATGAAGCAACGGCCGGCTGTAGGAATGGCTTTCTGTTGTTACAGAATCCCTCAATCCTTCGGCAGTCTTTATTGGCACGATGTCATATCATTTAATGATTTTTTTTCATATCAACGTTATGACGTCACTCCGTTGAATATTACGTCAAAACTCTGTATTTGGTCATCTTTTGAGTTGATATATGACTATTTCACAGTTGGCTGTTAGCCAATTAGAAATCATGAATTCAAAATTTGTTGTCGGAACAACATAACAGCAAGTTACATATCATCAGTATAGTATTGTAATCATTGCTATATCATGACTAAACTAACAGCATTGTTGAAAACATCGCGAGTGTATCAGTGTTTATATATTACATATCACTAACAGTAATAAACTTGCCTGCAGCTGTCCATTCATTTTTTTGATAAGATCCTACAAATGATATACTGAACTACCACTTGTAAATGTTCATATAATTTTTCAAAAAATGATTTATGCGATGGTTATCGATCTCATATGTGATAAAAATTAATCGCAATTACGTGGTACTTAAATCCTATTGAGATCTTAACGAATGCCAACATTCCAAACTTAAGGAGTTTCCTAAAGCTATCAGATAAAATGATACATTTTTTGGCCATAATCTTGGACACCTTATACCAAGGTCAGGTAGCCTACTAGCTTTTTACAGAGATTTTATTATGGTTTTTTTTTCACAAATACCATTTCAATTGTTTAGGACGGACAATAGGCCTATGCATTTGTTAGTTTATTATAATCTTTTAATGCTAAAACTACTCTGATGCTTTTTTCTTTGATTCCACGTAAAAACGTATAACCTTAATTAGTATTTTAAGAGCTCATTTTTTTCACGTAGCTATTTGCGGTTAAAAGTGTTCAAAACCTAAAGTCTTCAAGTGTTGGCGTTCCTCTCGAAATTACTTTGTTTTAGCTTTATTTTGTAGTTTACACAGTTAGCGACCTTTCTAAATGTATCTGACGGTCGAGAAACACAAAATAAGAGTTAAATATTATCAATTTAAATACAATAAGTTCCTTGATGGTGTAAAATTGACGCCATATTTTACAGCAATAATATAAAAGCAAAACTTACTGAACTTCAGACATCATTTTCTCTTTGGCGTACTCTTCATTTTAGCATCATTTTACAGATAAAGCACTAAACATACTTTTAAGTTTGTTTGCCGCTCGAGAAACGTATCAAAAATTTAATTCCTCCCCCCTCCCCGCCACGTACGCCTATGTTGAGTAAAGTCATAACCTTAAGTGGAAAAGTATATTCATTACATTACGTAACATAGAAAATTCTGCTCTCAAATTGACAGATATCTCCTACGAGATGGAACTTGGATGAGAAATATTTTGCTTCATAAGTATGGAGTAATTTGTTGTTTCAGATTATAGGGATGCAAATGTGATTGAATAAATACCGCATACTTTGTTTGAATTAGGAGGTCCAAAGACCACTCAGGAATCGATTAAGTATATCGATCAAATACCATTTACTCGCTGTGTTTGTCAAGTGTTAGGACCCTCCTACATTTTACAACCCATGCCATATCTTTGACAAATGATCGTTTCAACATAGACCAGTCGTCAAATGCGATGTGTCAAACATTATACCCAGTATCCGGCTACCACAATACTGGGTAAACATCGCCAAATTGAAGTAAAATGCACAGTTTACTTCAGTATAACATACGAAATGCATGTTGAATAGAACAAGGCATTGGCTAGGTAAACTTTGCATATATGTTTCCTCACTTGCGGAAGGGCTAAAGATAAATAGCGCTATCAATTTATAATTATGAATTGATATACAGGACTTATTTGTTCGAAATTTCGTTCAGTCACTAAAGTTTGGGCTTTTTTTTAGGTTTCAATTAGATATCAGTTTAACAGTTTTCTAATTTGGACTCGTTATACTCCAACCATTGAAGTTTCCCTTAATAAATTAAACGAGATTTGGTAAGAAGGCAGGCCGGCTAATTTATTTGCAATCATGCAAATTTCAATTGATTCTTTCTTCTCAGTTTACCATGTCTGAATCGACAATTGATCATATCTTGCCTCTTGGTATCTCAAAGCGTTAGTACTCCGTCTGAATGGTCAAATCATCGATGGCCTCTGAGGAGAACAGTTTAGAACTAATATCACGGCTACCCGGGAGTTAATTGCTATTTACGCCTTGCTTACACTATCAAAGTTTCTGTGATCACAGTAGGAATTTTGCATCGGTAAATTCTAAGTTTTGAAGGATTTGTAAGAAATGGTTGAGCAAACTGACTTAATGTTAAACACTGAGTCAGTGTTCCCTCAAACATTTCTTACAAATTTACCGATGCAAAATTCCTACTGTGATCACAGAAACGTTGATAGTATAAAGCAGGCTTTACAATACAATGAAATGAATGAATGGGCGTTGTAGACATTAACAGTCTGCAACACAGATTGGGCTTAAAATGCCAAGTCCTGTACAGTATATATGATCTGGTATATGATATTGCTGGATCAGTATACGTGGCTATAGCTATAGCGGTATTTACCACAATAGACAATTCTCATTATAGACTAATTTTAAAACTAGGTAAGGAGATGCAAATAAATCACCACAGCTAGAAAGAACATACTAAAATTAGTAAAATTACAAAATTTGGTTGCGAAATGTTGTAAAATGTGGAAAATATAGCCTTGCAAAGTTCGCAAATTTTGTATACTTTTGTATTGCGTGCGACCACTTTCGGCCTAAATGTGGTAGGAATTTCCGCAAGCAATACAAAAGTATACAAAATTTGCGAACTTTGCAAGGCTATATTTTCCTCATTTTACAACATTTCGCAACCAAACTTTGTTTTTTTACTAATTTTAGTATGTTCTTTCTAGCTGTGGTGATTTATTTGAGTTTTCTTGCCTAATTTTAAAATTAGTCTGTAATGGGAATTGTCTATTAAGAACCTCATTTCATAATTTTGTGATGCACATGAAAGGAAGCAAGGCAATCATCGACAATGATGATACAGTATTCTCAGCTGATTTTACAACTCAATTCGGACCCAAAAGTCTTATGATACACAAAACAACAAACTCGCATATTTTGTTCCTAAATCTTAAACGTCTTAACCCTAAGCCTTAAAAACCAATAAAAATTCTTGCTATATTTATCTTGTGGGTTCTGTTGTATGTTGGCAGCTAATAGTTTACAGTATTTTATCATAATCGGATTTCAAGTTCAGCAATTTTGCACGACTTAACACTCGAGGCCACATAGGTGAGCATCCGGACTATTCACACTGGATCAGTCTAGTATGGTTTTGGATTTTTGGTATTCTGCCCAAACAGACGGTTTGGAACATCGCACTCTCTAATTCAAGGTGCTAAAATGTTGCAGATTTTGAGGTAATCTGATATTTGGTGCTTGGAAGTCAGTGATAACACAGTTCTCAAGTTTACTATAAGTGTATTTTCCTTACATTATTGGCAGGATTTATTCCTGTGCGTTCACTAATAGCCTTCAAGCCCACTTCCGAGAGAGCCCACTGTGAAACTGACATGTTTGCGGATTGTCAATGTTGAAGATGTTCATCGTCAGTTATCGAAGTGTCAAAAATGACACACGCCTTTTGTCCACCTAGCTTCTTTAAATAATTACTTTGTCTACTTAGCGTTGTGGTAAAGTGGGCTGCTTTGCACTTCGATCAGTGTAGTCAGACATTCATCCTCGAAGGAGGTAGCTACTCTTGTTCTTCAAACAGCTATAGTACTTGTGAGTTATAGGTGTTCGTCCTTGGGGTAGTTGAAGTATATTCTTGGTCTTAACAAGTATCATGGACGGTACTACACCTAGAACTGCGTTCTCGGTCAGGGATATTCTTAACATGCCCGAATGTAAAGAGAAAGAGGTCGAGACGAAAGGCACGAAAGAACTTGATGGGTCAATGAAAGGACCCTCAACAGAACACACAGACAGACCACCAAGTCGAGATGACAAGGATCTTAAAGAATCGACCATAAAAGGTAAGAATATGAGAATATCATAAGTTCTCCTTGTATTTTTCATGTATAGTTGCATCTGTACCAATCTACCAATCTGCAGCTTTCAAAAATATAATACCAAATGTCTATTTCATGTCAATGTCCTTAGCTTAAGATATTCTAGTCAAGACTCTATTCAATCTAAAGAAAGTACAGGATTAAATGAAGTATACCACCCGCGTTAAAGCGCTTCATTGAAATCGATCTCGTTCTTTGAAAATCCCTGTGATTTTTCTTCCGCGATTGTGGCGGTCCCGGAGTAGACAATATTGAAGAGTATTCGAGACGTTATATAGTTGAAAAATCCAACTAGACCAGAAAATATAGAAAAGTGCTTCGTCCTTCGACGTTTCGGCTCACTCTTCGAATTACCTTCTGTATACTTTCCAGGTATTTAGATTTTTCAAATTAAAAGAAAGCAAAGACAATGAATTATTTGAAGAAAACGATCCCAATCAGTTAGCGCTATAGAATTGCACCATTCTTATAAAAGTCCCGCTTTAATTATTGTTCTGGAATAGTTGATGAATTAAAGTTCTTCTGGATAAAACGAATATTTTAAAGAGAGGGGCACTTTTAGACAGCGCATTGGAATCATTTTCTTCAATTGACAGGATGTTGCCATGAGTTGCACTTGTGAATCAAAGGTTGTCAATTGACCTGAAGGGCTTTCTCTTTCTAAAGTGAATTGGTTTTGAGTAGAAAAAGATATCAAAAGACAAAGGAATACATTATTGAACGTATCTTGTATAGCATCTTGAGTTACTGGCTATTTAAAGTCTAAGAAAAGCTAAACGCGAATGCGATACTCGCTCATTCCGACTTAGCCAAAAACAACATTTCCGGCAGAAAGTATTAATCGTTTGGCTTTGTCGTACAGATTCTTAATCAGTTAATGCTAGCCTGCATATATACATAAAGACATTTCGGTAGTTATACTTAAGTCTTAGTAAAGCTGCCGTGGTTTGTGTCTAAGCTACGTGAAGAATATGACAAAACCGGTCGACGTTTCTAGCGTCGTCTATAGTGGTTAAATATATCTAACTTTGCTAAGCGACGAAGAGCCTTCGCGCGAGGGTTTTTCAGTGAACTTTTTTAGGACGTATATGTATTCTTTGAACTACCGATAAAACCAGAGTGATCTTTGTCATTGACATTGATATCAAAAGCTTCAATTTGCTAATCTCTGCATTACCGGTTTTGTTTTATATCCCATACAACCCAAGAATCTCGAGTCTACCTACTCCTAAGTTTAATTTTTGTATTATATTTCGAGTACATATAACAATTTAACACTACAAGGTGAAGGTGGTCACACAAGGTCGATGATGGCCAAAAACAATGGGAATAAAATGATGATGTGTCATCTAATTCTCTCGAACTAATTACATTTCCCCGCCTATTTCGAAGATAATGTCGCCAATCAGTTAACATTAAAAGCTGGTTAACACCATGAAAGTTGCTTCAAAGTGTGCAAATCTTTTATTTTAGTCTTGGGTTAGTTTAATTCATCAACCAAAGTTGCCCCGCGGACAATTGGAACGGAATTTATTTAAGAACAAAGCAGTTCCACATGCATTGCTAATATTTCGAGTCTTTGAGAGTCGTATCAATTAATCCCTATATAGCTATCAATGCTACCTGATGGTTAACCCCTGCGAACGGGAATGAGTTTACGAGAGCCGGTTTACGTGCATGAGAGTTTCATCAATTCTCTGAGAGTTGACTGGATATTACCGCGCGCACTTTCAGTCATGCAAACATAAACTCTTATCAACTTTCATTAATTGAACCAGGGGTTGAAGGAAGGCCCAGTACTGCTATTCATCCATCGGATAGCGATTCTTTCAACGGTTGTATAAAAACACTTGAAAAGCTACAAAACTAGGGATATGGAGTTCAGAATTGACACATAAGAAACTTGAATTTATAACTACTAAAGTTAATCTGTGGGTTAGAAACAAACCACGGCAGTTTGTTAGCTTATTGTAGAATATTACCTACACTAAAGAACCCCACGTTTAAGATAACTATAATATATTTTTCTCTTCTCTAACAGAGAAACAATCAAAACTGACGCTGTCGAGTTCTGAAGTCGAGCGACAAGAGACCCAAAAGGCGAAACAGAAAAAACGAAAACGACGCGTGCTCTTCACAAAAGCACAAACGTTCGAGCTAGAACGCAGATTTCGCCAGCAAAGATATCTATCTGCGCCGGAACGGGAACACTTGGCGAGAATGATATGCCTCACACCGACACAGGTCAAGATTTGGTTCCAAAACCACAGATACAAACAGAAACGACACATCAGCGAACACGGGGAAGACGCTTTCGATAGCCTCAGCATGGCGCACGGTATTCCTTATCCAATGTTCCTACGAGAGGGCTTAGTCTACCACAATCCCACAGGAAATTACACGTCCTACTTCCCACCGCATGGCCATGGAGGAGAATTTTGTAATGTCTATTCTACTCATCTCCCAACGTCGCCATATTTTACTACTACGCCTTGTCACAGTTGGTGAAGAATTATAAAATGTATGATTCAAATTGGACTCTCAAACATTAAGGCTCGGGTTTACACTATCAAAGTTTCTGTGATCACAGTAGGAATTTTGCATAGGTAAAAAGAATTTTGCATAGTTTTGAAGAATTTGTATAAGAAATCTTTGAGGGAATTGACTCAGTATTAAACAGTGAGTCAGTTTCCTGAAATATATCTTATAAATTCTTCAAAACTTAGAATTTACCTATGCAAAATTCCTACTGTGATCACAGAAACTTTGATACGGTGTAAACCCGAGAGCCGTCTTATAATATATATTTCATTTAATGAAAGCTGTAAGCGGAGAGTTTATAAAACGAACAATAAGTTATCGTGGTTTGTTTCTGAACTAGCTGAAAAGATTACATACGCTTCGAAGAAGTCCTTTCGCTCAAAATTCAATGTGTTCCGTTTATGCTAGTTCACCGAGAAACAAATCACTGCAGCTTATTGAAGAACACTATACCAACATTGCAAGGAAACCCACATTTAAAATGTGGATAAACTATTAATCGTTGGAATAAAACCGCTGATGCAATTCATAAATCTTCAAAAAAAAGTCATGGACAGTATTAAAGTTGACTGTACCATCGATATATGATGGATTAAACTGTTTGAAGAAGACATTTAAAAGTAAAAACTTGTAAATAGTGTAAGGTATTTATTTCAAAGCAAATGTACAGATAGTTTATATTGAAGTTAAAAAGAATAGAATAGTGATATGATAATTCGTTTCTTTGAGTTTCTGGTATGCCCTTGTTTCACAATTGGATAAGATACCGACTCTGATTGTATTGGCTGTGTAAAACTTAGAAGAAGGAAAGATAGCCCGCGGATGAAACGGAATAACTGTCTGTTAAAAATAGGTGAAAGATAATTTACGAAGGACAAAGCAAAGCTCAATTAGCTGATCGAGTCGAAGCCTCGAAAGCATGGGCGCCTCTGTCAGCCACCTTACATGACCCATGTCTGGCCAGCAACGGTGGAAGGGTCTGTTAGGGCTTATCCCAACTCACCCTGTCAACATTCCCTGTGGAACGAAGAGCGTTTACAGACTCTTCACATAAGTGCCATGAGTCAACGGCCCAGAAATCAAACCCGCGAATTCAGAGATGAAAAGCGCCTGCTCTGACAATTGCGATCCCTAATGACTTAAATGTAAAAGAAGAAAAGTAATGCATTTATCCATCCCGTGATACAGAATTCACATAATTTTTAGGAAGATGAAAGTTGGGGTGGAAATGGGAGAATATTTTACTAGTCGTCTCGATTCATGGAAATATAGGGCATGCATGTCTAAATAACGCTACTCAGAGTCTATTTTATATATACTCCTTTTGGAATCGAGGTAAAAATGAAGAAAACTAGAATTCCGTATGATATTTTTTTAATACATACAAGATATCACTGATAGGCCTACATTAGATGTTTGAGGCAGGCTTTGAGGGGCAATTATTAGATACCATTATGACTTGTTCCCTAATCTAATCCTCCTTTGTGAAACACCATGAAATGTTGGATCTATGCCATTTTATGCATTTCTTGTTTCGATTTGCGAGAATTTGTCATGATACTTGACAGTTAAGGGGGAGGATATCAATTGAAAGTTTATTCCATTTCCTCTTCTGTCACCTATAAGCGCTCTTTCGAATTTCAAAATTTGTGAGAATGAACTATATTCTATAAACTAAACTAACTTTGAATTGAACTGATGAAGCGTACGTATATTGTATTTGGCATACAATGCCTTTTTCGATATTGCGTGTGGAACTCAGCCCATGCAGAAAATATTTGATAGAAACAGCTGCTTTTCAGCACACGGAATGACAGCATCTATCAAACGTGTCCAATAATGCTTGTATTTCTATATAAATACGCATGAATGTTAATATGTCTCAAAATTTCTTCTCTTCAAAATTTACAAATATAAAAACTCCGTTGAAAAAGCATTTATTCCAAAACACAAGCCAGGTGATATACAGCTCCTCCCCATTTAAAGTCACATTCATACATCACGGAGTGTTTTTTCAACTTTGAGTGATGTTTGTTCAGGCACTTCGCAATGCAGTAGTCTTTAAGCCGGTAAAACTACATTTGGATTAAATTATTTATCTTTCGCTTTAAAGTCTTTTCGCCTATAATACGATTTCGAAACCACAAGAAAACAGTCTACAGTAACGACAATTAGAGATGCTTCATTTTGCTGGAGGAAACTTTGCTCAAAGTAGTTTGGCCTATCTCTCCAATCCTATTTTATAGGCTGACACTATCCGGTCATTATTATATGACCTGTTCGCTATACTTATGCTGAGAGCCCACCATTTGATATGAAGTACTATATATGATTGAAAAGAATCAGCTTAACACCATACTCGTACCACACGTAGAACCCATGGGAACATTATAAATCTTCTCAAAATCAGTTGGTTGTGAAAAAAACTGATCAATATTATCGTATGGATAGATTGATGGCTTTCTGTGGACTCTTTCTTGGTCCAGTTTAACGGCTAACATAATTCTTAAGTTAGGTGTGAGTATAAAGTGGGGTTCGGTGCAAAACATCCCTACTTGCAGCTCGGAGAACTAAGCTGAATTATGAAGGACGCAGGTCGACCTGATCGAGTTCAAGGCTTTCTGAGGGTGGGTGGGAACTACCTTATTGTGACAAATATATGATTATGGAGCACAGCAACGCTGGAAGGTCAGCCAGTTTAACCTTTTGGGCTAATCCCAACCCACCCTGTCAACATTCCTTGTGGAGGAAACTAATTTCTGAATTCTGATCATGTAGCTACGCTGGAAGGTAGTATAGGGCTTATCCCAACCAACATTCCTTGTGGAGGAAACTAATTTCTGATCACAGAGAACAACTATGCTGGAAGGTAGTATAGGGCTTATCCCAACCAACATTCCTTGTGGACGAACTGACTAATTTCTGATCACAGAGAACAACTATGCTGGAAGGTAGTATAGGGCTTATCCCAACCAACATTCTTTGTGGACGAACTGACTAATTTCTGATCACAGAGAACAACTATGCTGTAAGGTCAGTTTGGGGCTTATCCTAACCCACCCTGTCAACATTCTTTGTGGAGGAAACTAATGTCTGATCACAGAGTACAGCTATGCAGAAAGGTATAGGGCTTATCCCAACCAACATTCCTTGTGGAGGAAACTAATTCTTGATTACAGAGCAGTTTGGGGCTTATCCCAACCCACCCTATAAACATTCCCTGGGGAAACAGCGTTGACCGACTCTTTTCACATAATTGTCTTGAGTCCGCAGCGAAAATCGAACCCACAACCTCAGAGGTAAAAGACGCTTGCTCAACGTCATCGAAGCTCCCTGCCGACCGAATACATAGGGACAGTTTATTTGGGTAAAACTATATCATTTATACAAGATTGATTGTCTGCAGTGACAAGCATTTATATTCAAATAAGCAAGACCATGCACTACCTGATGAAACTTCACATCTACATCTACAACTCGTTCCTTAGAAAAACGATTTCATAAGCGTCTTTTAAATTCAAGACCTGTCTGTGCCAGAGTGTAGCCGGGTAGTGCCAAATATAAATGGCCAAGGGTCTTCGCTCGAAACGTCGAAATTCTCCTCATATATTTCAGGTAGTTGCATGCCTACCAACGAAAGCTTGTTCATTTTAAATTCAAGTTATTTTCCAGCAAAACAGGATGTCAATAATTCGACATTTGTATTTGTGCTTCATTCAATCACTCTCTGTGGGGGTAGATATGCATATGCACCCCAGAAATATTCACTATTGTACTAAAATACAGCATTTCGCCCAAGCAACTACGGTGTAGGTCAAATGTGAGAATTAGAGTGCTTCCAGTTTAAGTCTACCAAACACCACAGTTCCCCTATAGGTACTCCAGTTTCCTCCTGTAGTAAAACTGGATCAGTAAGTGATGGCCTTTACTGGATCTCCAGGGAGAACTACTCAGAATTGATAGAGCTATCCAGTATGGACAAATTAATTTAGTTCCGTCTAGCATAGGCCCCAGTTACACGATACCACAGTTCACGTCTTAACAGTTTTAGGATCCCCTTCAGGAAACTCTTGAAAATGCGATTATATGACAAAATAAGACGAAAATCGGTGGAAATTTTGAGGGAAGACTTTACTCCTAAGCGGCATATGTTCATGTCGTAACTGCAGAGAATCCGGTATCATGTCAATGGATCCATATAGTGAAAAATTATTGCCTCATTAAACATAACTGTTATAGGCATGTGGTTTTTACTGTGGTTTTCTCACTGCCATAAACGGCCACAAAAATAGAAAAATGCCAACTCGGTTATCGGGATAAAGCGAGATTTCACATGGATCATAATTTTTTTTGGCAGCTTAATAATCATAATGACATAGTGTTAATTAGATTTCTAATTGGATGCATTGTTTCAGCTTACGAAATGACAAAATATGTACAATCTGACGTTGATATGTTTTATCTTGTGTTTTACAATAAGATAGATAAATGCAAACACTACAATGCTCTATACGTTGCACGTACTCACAAGAGAGAATTTCATTATGCATCCGTGATAATATATCGGAGACCATGTGCTACTTAGTGCCATGCTAGTTCCCAGGGCTGCTCGGCTAGTTGATCTGGCGGCCAAATGTGGATTTCAATTTGTGCACTTCCCAAATGACTCGACAGAGCGGATAAAATGGTTGAAACTATCGCACAAAATATTGAAAATGTAATGTTACTGCATGTTTATGAACAAGTCACATACTTCAGATACAAGTCCCCCCCCCCCCCCCAAGTTCAATGTTAAGAACGTCCTCCGTAAAACCTTACGTAGTTTCCCATGATACAACTCAACATTGAGTCGAGGGAGTAGAGGTTTAAAAAGTAATTTGTAAATAGACCTTTACATTTTTTCCAAGACCAAGCTAGTGCTTCCACAATGGCAAGTCTGAGGTCAAACATGGCTATAGAGCAGCGACAACGAAAAACGTAAATATATATTGAAAGGATCAGCACAATTAAGTTTTGAAGAAAATTGTATGTTGTTTAGTATAATAGTTCAATGATTTATGTTGGACACGTGTCGATTCCCATAGTTAAATGTTTTGTCCTTGTGTGTTTATGCCTTCTTTTTTCGCTATTTATTTGTATTCAATTTGTAAACATATTTATATAACCTCTTCTTCTTTATAGTTTAATAAATAATTTTTATAATTAATTAATGTGAGCCCCCTTGATAAGCCTTGGCTTTTGGGGCAAACATCCAAATAAAGTTTATATAAAAATGCAGAAAATGCCGGGGCTCAGAGACCTAAATTCAGAGAGCTAAATTTCATTTTTTTCCCCTGGAGGAACATGCTCTCGGATTTCATAGAATTGTGACGTCATTCATGATTAAATTGACCCCTTCCCCCCAACAAAATCCTAGCGGCGCCACTGGTTCTGAACATGACCATACATATGGTCAAGTTCAGAACTGTTGACACTTACAGAAGTAAGTAGATTTAACTACATCATGCACTGGATTCTATTTATTGGTATATAATGAAAAGTCTAACTAACATTATTTTTCCACACTGACAACTGGCCGTATTTGCTGCACAATAGCGCGTTATAGTGAAATCAAAGTGAAAGCGGAACTTATCTCATGTATACATACGTACAGTTTGCAAGACAAAAATGTAGCACTTATGTAAATTAACACATTTTAAGCACGTAGGTTTATAACCTGCGAAAACAGCCGTCCGATTGTCTCGTGGGCGGCTACTTTTCATGGCAGGCTACAGAATGGTCAATCATGGTCAATTATGGCGATAATGGATGAACCTAATGGTATTCACATATTCATGGTGGTCAAAGTACCGAATATATCACTCTGTGATGTGATAATGTGCCCACCGCAGACAAACTTATAAA